ATGAAACAAGGAAGAAATGGCTGCAAATTTTCCTTTCATTTTAAAGAACGAGGGAACATTAATCTGCCGACAACTGCAAAACATAAAACCAAGTTATTGTCAGGCACCTGTCAGGCATAACAGTACAATGCGGTTCAGTAGAACCAGGTACACACACTCAGCTACTGTAGAATATTCAGAATTTCCTTGGTTTATGTTGGCATGACAAAGATAATTTAGATCAAACTGTAACTCTCCTTAAAACTAGATACCATTTCTCACCTCTTGTCAGCTGCATCCTTTACTGAATGTTTGTTTTATATTTACTTTCCACATGTTGACATTTCATCATGATTCCAGGTAGCAGTGTGTTTAAAAGACAACATTATACATCAGACTTTTATCAAACACGGCCAATTATGCAAATTCCCCCTAAATTTATTTTTAGAGAAACGGAAGATTGATTGCAGAGACATACCATTACAGAGACAGTGATTTAGGAGGGTATTTCAATTGCTAATGTGCCTCACAATGATGTGGGGTTTGTTTGTAAACTTCAGACCTAGAAAATTGAATGCTCTGTCAACACCAGATAATTATCACTTCCTATCCGAAATGCTAAACTTAATCGAAATATTCTTTGCATTGGAGTCAACGGTTGGCATGAGTCAAAGAAATTTTATTATGATGCTGTATGTATGTAAAAAGTACCATATATACTCGATCATAAGCTGGTTCGTTTATAAGCCGTCCCCCCCCCCCCCCAAGATGGATAAGTAAAAATGGAAAATTTTTATAACCCGTTCATAAGCCGACCCTATAATTCAGGGGTCAACAAACTTTGGCTCCTGGGCCATCAGGATAAGCCGCTGGTGGTTCGAGATGATTTGTTTACCTCAAGTGTCCGCAGGCATGGAGGAAAACCTAAGTAAACAAAGTGTCCCAGCGCGCCAGCTGCTTACCCTGACGGGCCGGGACAGCAACTGGTGGGGGGGGAGAGAAGCTGGGGAGTCAGGGAAGAAACCGCTGTGACCACCCCCCACATGATCCCACCCCTAGCCCGGGACCCCCACACTCTCCCCATCCCATCCCTTCCCACCTTATCTGGGGAGGGCCAGGGGAGGATGTCTCTGACCTGGCTGGAGCTGCTCTGGTGGGCCAGACCAGGTGGTGTGACCGCAGCCTGCTCCGATGGGCCAGACTGGGCGGCACGGCCGCAGCATGTTCCAGCAGGCTGGGCCACGTGGCCCAGCTGCAGCATGCTCCAGCGCCTGGGTGACATGGCCACAGCCTGCTCTGGGGGGCGGGGCCGGGCAGCACGGCTGCAGCCTGCTCTGGGGGGCGGGGCCGAGCGGCACGGCTGCAGCCTGCTCTGGGGGGGCGGGGCCGAGCGGCACGGCTGCAGCCTGCCGCTCCGGAGGCTGGGGGGAGAGCAGAGTGGCCAGAAGCGGTGAGACTCTGGCCCCGCCTCTTCCCTTCTGGCTCTGCTGCCTCTCCTTGCTCCCCCTGTTGGGGGGAGGGGCTGCGTCCCACCTCTCCCTCTCTATACCCGTTCATAAGCTGACCCCCTTCTCTGGTGCTTCCCTTTTTTTACTAAAAAAATTCGGCTTATGAATGAGTATATACGGTAATTAGAAATCAGACAAATGGTGGAAACCTAAAGCAATTTCCCCACATTGCTTGGAATGCAAAATAAAGTGATGACTACATCACATTTGATTGACTTTGGGGAGATTAGTGGCTAGATCAGAGGTTTCAAATGCACTTGGAGGTGAGGGCTGGATTCTATGTTTAATTATGGTCAGTGGGATGGGATATAAATTCAGGACTTCATTACTCCCCTAAATTCACAGCAGTTCTCCCTCAGATGTCAGTGGGTGGGAGGGAAGGGAGGAGTTGCATACAGATCAAAGGGAGAACATGACCTTCATGTAAATAACTAAACTTTTATTTGTTCAGTATTTTATTGTCACATTGAGACAGATCTCTACCACTGCTTCTGATCTTTGTTTCTCTTACTTTTTTATTCCTTTCTCATCCTCCTTTCATTGTTTCTCTCACTCTGTCTTTGTATGTCTCTGCTTTTCCTCTCGCAACTCCTCCCAAGTTCCCACCCCTTCAGTGCTTCATTCCCATTCCAGCCGACATGCTAATCAGTGAGGGAATAGTTAAGGTGGACATCAAAGTATAATCACGCAGCTTTAGAGTCAACACCTCAATTAGATTAATACGGGATGGGAGGCTTCATTGTTTCAGGCTGCCTGTAGAATCAGGCACACATCATGACACCAATTCTCACTGGAAGTTGTCTCTGCCAACTAGCAGGGCTAGAAACTTCACTTTCATTTTTAAATGAATACTGAGATTCTGCCCAATCTGAGTAGGTCACGAAGACCACATAACTATATAATGTGAGCCAGATCCGGCCCATAGTGGGTCACATGTTTGACACCTGTGGCCTAGAAAGTGCCTGGAGGAGAACTTTGGAAACAGAGAGATTCAGTTATGATTCACAGGTGGAGAACAACATTTGGGGCTTTTCGTTCATTTTACAAACTGGCAAACTTGCAATATCTGGAGTTAAGGGATATGTCTGAAGTCAATAGCTAGGACTTCTGACTCTTCTTTCCCTAATCTAACCACTTGACAACCCACCTGTTCAGATGTTAAGAGTTAAAAATCTCACCAGGGTAGTCCCTCACTTTCTTATCCCCAAATGCCATTCAATATGCTGTAGGCCAAACTCTGAATTCAATTCCTTCCATGGAATCCCACAGACAGGACTTGACCTTCTCCACTCTTGGGTCTTTCTGTTTACATCCACCAATCCATCTCAAGTTCTGATGTCAGATTGCCAAAAAGAGCAGTTTACAGAACCTCAGTAAGGCTTTAGAGTTAAAAATGATTATAAATATGGTTATGCATAAGGGTCATTGAAAATTTGCCATCAAAATTGTTTTTAATGGCCAAATGGGATTTTCCTGGTTTTTTTTCTAAATTAAAAGTTAAAATCCCATTTAGCCATTAAAAACAGTTTTGATGGCAAATTTTCAACGAGCCTTCATATACATACATAGTAGTATAAATCTGCCCAGCCTTCCTTCAACCTTCCAATAGGAGGCAAAGTGTCTGGATCTGCCCAGGGACTCTGGGGAGAGGTCAGAAGAGGCCATAAGGATCCTGTGCTCCCTGCCATGATTTGATTGCTTCTCCTCACCAAGAGGGGAGACCAGGGGGTATCATGGGAGATGTAATCTGACCAAAAAGCCCGGCCTACAAAAGAGAATGCTGAAGGCATGAATCACCCAACAACAAATCCCATGCGGCACTAGGCATTTCAGCATCCACATATTTTGGCTTTCAGAAAACTCAAAATAGCATGGCTACACAGGAGAAGGGAGGATCCTGAAAACTTTTTCCTGTTGTAAAATGAGGTTACAGTACAGGAAAGGTTAAGAATCACTGTTATGGATCATATACCTCAAATAAGGGCATCAATACAGTAAAACCAAGCACAACAGCCATTTTTAGCAAGCTATAACTTTGCTCCAAAAGCTGGTCTTGTCAAAACAACATGGAAGCCACAGAGCAAAGGAATGATGATATATTTCAGTATGCGCTTTGCAAACCCGTCAGAACATTCTGATCTAATACTGGAGTGTCCTCATCTCCCTTCTTGTTTTCCCCTCCAAAACTTGGACTATTATCTTGTCATATTTGGGGAAGTTCTGCTTCCACTGTAGGTACAATATTACTGAAGTGTGTGCTTGCGTTCGAGGCTATCGGAAGAAAACAATAATTTGCCTTCTGGCTACCCCAATCTATTTACAGACTGATTGCCTGGGCTAGTGACGGATATTAGGACTATGACTTTACCAAAGGGGGTTGAGTTCCCGACTCCCGTTTACCTCCAATGGGTGCCTAACTCCCTTTGATTTTACCAGCCTAAATTACTATTTAAAATGGCCTTTTCAAAGATTCTTTAAACAAAAATGATGATATAAAAAGCACAAACGATAGCATGAGTATATGCCAAACAATGTACGCCATTTTAAAAACTGAAACACAATGAAAATATGACTAACTGAATGGAACTCCTGGTTTTCTATATTCTAGTAGGCTTTTTGCTTTGTCTGACAGTCCCCAGGGCCTCTGCTAGTGAAAACATTGTCACTTAATGTACTTCTGTTTCCAGGCGCTACATACAGAAGCAGCCACATATTCATTGCTGTTGTAATAAACACAGTTTTGAAAGTACCAAAAGCTGGGGACTTGTCTCTTTGATGCAACACAGTTTTTGGTATCCAAAGGGCCATGTGGTAATCCTTAGGAACAGTAATAAAAGGAGCATGACATTAGGGCTGAAGAGATGGGGGGGGGGAGGAGGGGGGAAAGAGAGAGAGAGAGAGAGAGAGAGAGAGAGTGTGTGCAATTGGCCATAT